GAAAGACCAGTCTGGAGAATTTGGTAAGAGCGATTTAAAAAACCACCGGGCAATCTAATACGCCATTTAATTTGGAACAGCCCACATGACCCTCTATGAATAACACAATGTTGCCTAATATGCTTTAACGGTAAAGACGGTGATTGCACGAGTTCGGGTACGGTTTATCTAATGGCTTGTAAAGAATTTAGAGCCGAACAGATTGACTAAGCGGACAGACCACTATACATCCATTTGAAAGAACACCTAGTTAGGAAGCATAAAATTAAACAGAATACTCCGCTAGGGGAGCATATGACACGAAGACATAACGGAGAACATCTTGAATCAAACGCCACTATTCTGGTGCTGGAATCGAAAACGCCAGCATTTGAAACGTGTGAAATGTTTTTGGTAAGTCCGAAACATCCAAAAAATAACAGTAGGGAGGAGTGGCTTGTGTTCATGCGTGGCCTCGCGCCATATCTCAGGCTGATTTTTGACCTGAGCCAGGCAAAATCTTCACCCGTGGAGGAGTTTGTTTGGCTGCTCCCCAATAGGAACTGGAGGATTTATGCAGAATAAGACGGTGAGCATTGAAGAGAAAGTGTTTTCTATGCGAATGAATTCGCGTATTAATCTTTTTCCTGCTGAGGTAATGATGGTGTTTGGTTGAGTGGACTGCCCATCAGTTTGGTTCATTTTTCCAGACCCTCATGAGGACAAAGCAGCCGAAACGGCTGTTTCGAAGGAATAAATACTGTGACAGCAACGTTGTGTTCGCTCATCAGGAAAACACTGAATTACTGATCAATACCGGGGTCAAAAGAATGTCGGTCCTGGGAAAAAATTGTAGGCTGCGGTTTAAACTTTTGGACGGTTCCGTTGGGCGTGAATGGGGCATACACAACCAATCTGTTCTTCAAAGGCATCGTTCTTGTGAGATTTAGTCGAAGACCGATATTTCTACAGGCTTTATCAAAATCGTCAAGAATTCGTTCTGTTTGGTTAATGTTTGGTGTTATAAGGACGATATGATCAGCGAAGCGAAGATGGTGTAATTGGGGAACATCTATTTTTACCACCATGTTATCCCATGTTATAACATGATTTCGAGTACAGTCTCAGCTTAGCTGGGTTCAATACTGATTTGGGCTTCCCAAATCAATCCCGTTGACGGGTGATTGCTGATGGCACTGATCGATAGAGAACTAATTGAGAAATAGGCGAAACTAAAGACTCGCTTGGTGCGTGGTGAACGCCTTAACCCTCGGAAACTGTGATAACGCGTTCGTTTCCCACCATAGACACCTGCGGTCCGGATTTTTGCAAATAACTCACCATCACTGTGGTTGTGTCAAAAGCCTTCTTCAAATCGATGAAAGTAAGACGGAGCGGTCTTTTGTACTCTCACGATACTTCAATGAGTCTTCTTATTGTGTGAATGTGGCCCATGTTACTGAATCCTTTTCAAAACCCTGTTTGTTCACATGACCGCCCTTCATCCAGTGTTCTGTCAATGCTTAAAAACCGACGCTCAAAAAATTAGGAAAGAAATCAAAATCAGAGATCAAAAAGCTAAACAAAGTGGAAGAAAAGAGCCTTGTTCCCCTGACACCAAAAAGCTCTTGATTCGGCTATGGGCGTACGGAAAAAATGTTCAAAAAATATCTCATAAAACCCTTTTCAAAAATTCTAGCAAGGATCAATTTTTGAAGGAGCATTTAGCTCTCGATGGGCTTGTTTTTTAAGAGGGGTTGCTGGGAGAACCATGGTTAGAGTCGTCGCGCATTAATGCACAACTCATCGCATTAAAGATTTTAGCATTCCAAATGCGCTATTTTCTTATTACTGGTCGGTTTTTTAGAGTATTCGAAGAAACTGACGAAATTCTGCGACACTCTGAAGCGGATGAAAGTACTTACAACCGAAAATGATTGATTTGCTTTAATAATTGCACCCTTTCGAAAGTCAGGGTTTAACCAGATGTATTAGCTCCAGAATAACCGCAGTTATCCAATAGGACTTGACTGCGGTGATGATTTTGCGATAACATACTGTTCTGGAACTTGTAATGTTTCAGCTCGAAACGAATCATGCAACAATATTCTGGTCAGAAGCGAACACCCAAAACGCAGTTGAGAAGAGGACTCGACGGACAACGTTTTCAATAAATATAGAATTTCGTCAAACCACTCACATTACGGTTACTGTTAGCTGAGCTTTTTATAAATGGATTTTTTTTTGATTCCGCATAGTGAAATAGTGAAACATCCAAACGTGAACTGGTATTTTTACGTACTTCATTTCCTCTTCCATTCGAGCTCATTTCATAAAGTACGGTCTTAATATTGTATCACTGGGTGAAGTATTATAAAACCGAACTTGCCTACACGTGCATACATGTTGGACTCTTCACAGGCAAACCAAACTGTCGCGAACAGTTTTTCGATTACTCCAAACCGAGTCCAGGAGTAATAAAATGCTGACCACCGCAGACTTGGAACTGCACATACTAGGATTCTGTAAAAAAGATTTAATCTGAACGAAAAACAACTGTTGAAATTCACATACTCTTACAAAAATTCAAATTTATTTATTCTAATGAGACAAACCACGAATCTCCCTCATATAAGGGATCTCGAGCCAGTTAGTCGCGAGGCTACGTAGCACGTCTCCAGGTGGTGGATAGGGGTTAATTGTAGACCAAAAGCGACCTTTGCTTCCCTGAGACAAAAGTGAATCCATGGAATGGACTCCTTGTTTCTGATTCGCCGATTTGGCACATACTTTCTGTACTCCCTAGGCGTATTCATGCATGCGTGTGTGGGTGCGTTCTGGCTTATGCGGATTGTATTCTACGAGTCAATTCGGCCGAAAGCCTGCATTCAAGTGATAGGGAAATATATGGAAGGAGGTTAGGAGTCGCCTCTAACAAGCAAGCTCCATGTCCACTCTGGGAGATACTGGCAAGCTATCCATGAGTATACCCGGCCCCGCGTTCAAAGCCCAGCAAGCTGTACGTGAGTATCAAAATGCTAAACACAGTAAAAAGAAAACGGGCCTTATTCCACTGACCCCGAAAGAGCACCCACTTTCGCAGCGTTGGGTAGGGCGAGTATGGAGAGGCTACCAAAATCTCAGGACCAATGGAAGCTGCGTGAATTACAAAAAACTATGGTGACGATCTGTACCTACAATGCACGTACACTTGCATCCGAGTCTCCGATAGAAGACTTGCTCATACAAGCAAGAAGGATAAGGTACGACGTCGTCGGCCTGGCCCGGACCAGACGATGCCACCTATTCAGCGTTGTCTATGACACCGCAGAAGAACTGTTCCTCGGAACATGCGACAGTAGAGGAGTCGGCAGCGTCGGCGTTCTCGTCAAAACGAGTTCGTCCACGAACATCAATTCATTCGAACAACTTACAACCCTAGTCGGACTTGGAGAAGTTTTACAGAGAAGACCATACATTCGTCAAGGTTGGACCAAGAAGAACGTCTGAAGACGTCACATTGAGACCCATGGATTAGAATGAAAGAAACAGGGTGGGCGGCTATCTGAGTTCATCATGGTGACCAAGACCATCCATGGTAACCTGCAGTTCAAGAAGCCCCACCCTCAACGATGGACGTGCTAGTGTCCCAATACAGAGTACCATAACGAAACAGACCACATCATAGTAAATAGAAGGTTTTGCCTAACCGATGTCGCCGTTGTCCCAAAATTCTACGCGGGATCAGACCACCGTCTCCTTCTCCTTCTATTTCTCACGGAAAGGAGAAATGCCGCTAACTTCAAAAACCGAAGTCTTAAAACCACCGTAAACTGGGATTTATTCAATTCATTAGTCGGCTCTTGGGAAGATCCCGTTGTCGATAACATCGACGAAGAATACGATCGGCTCATTCAACATCTTCACGTTAGCGCTGTGAAAGCTCAGAGTTCGAAAGTCACCAAGAGACGTCTGTCTCCAGAAACACTCGAGGTGATACGCCAGCGTGGAATCGCACGAGCTACAGGCAACCGCGAACTAAAGTCCGAACTTGCAGAACAATGCCGACAGGCGATAAAAGAAGACCTTAAAGAGAGAAGAGCAGTAATAAAGATCGAGGCTGCAGAGAATGGGAAAAGCATTGGCAAACCCCACCGAAGTTTCGCCAATTACAAGACCAAAATCATTGCACTCCGACGCCCAGAAGGAGCAGTTACAGCATCCAGAAAGGCTATGGAGAAAATCATTCGCGAATACTACTCAGATCTCTTCGATAGCCACGTCTACCTTCCGTCATATGAAATAAAGGAGGATGGATATGTTGTACCACCGGTTCTCCCTTCCGAAATTCTAAATGCCATTTCGTCTGTGAAAAATCGAACAGCACCAGGTCCAAACAGGGTGAGATCTGAACACTTCAAGGACCTTCCAGCGGTTCTCGTAAACACACTGGCTCGGCTCTTCATACCTTACTTGTCTGAATGCAAGGTTTCTACTCACTGGAAGGCCACCATGACCGTGTTATTGTTCAAGAAGGGTGACCTACGCGATATCAGCAACTATCGCCCAATCTGCTTGCTGTCTGCAGCCTACAAAACACTGGAAAGCACTAAAAACGCAAACTTTTCACCCGAGTCATCTTAAACAGGATTGACAGAAAACTGGACGAAGGACAGCTACCATGTACGCAAACAGGGTTTCGAAAAGGATTTAGCACGATGGACCATATGCGCAAGATAACAAGGCTCACTAAAGTGTCGCGAGAGTACAAAAGACCGCTCTGTCTCACTTTCTTCGATTTACAGAAGGTTTTGATTCAGTTGATATAGAAGTAGTCTTGGAAGCCCTTGATAGCTAAGGAGTCCCTACTCAGCACATAAAGATTCTTCGTGAGCTGTACAAGAATTTCACAACCAAGATACCACTATTCTACAACGATATTATCATTGATGTGAAAAGGAGGAGTTAGGCAAGGCGACACCATCTTGCCAAAATTATTTACCGCCCCCCTCCAGAACGTCATGCGAACATTGGAATGGGATAATATGGGATTGAAAATCGATGGTCGTCAGTTACATCATCTTCGCTTTGCTGATAACATCGCCTTTATAACACTAAACAGCCAATCGGAACGTATGCTCGCCGACTTTGATAAGTCCTGTGGAAAAATTGGTCTTCGAGTAAATCTCACAAAAGCGGTGTTCATGAAGAACGGATTGGTTTCGCATTCCCCCATTCACGCTCAACCGAACCAATATCTTCGAATGCTCCAGTTATGTCTGTGGCTTGGGGAGCTTTCAAGAGCATCGAAGAAGTACTGAGGTGAACAAAGAGCACCCGACTCCGTGTTCACCTTTCCGACCCAACAATAATTCTTGCATTAACATATGCGTCAAAAGCAGGATGCGTTATTGAACGCGCAGTCGTAAGGACGATGCTAGGAATAACCCGTTTCACACAAGTAATGGAAGGGATCCGAAGCTCCGACCTGCGTCAACGATCAAAAATCGAAGATGGCATTCTTTACGCCAAACAGTCGAAGATAAGGTGGGCGAGACACGTAATGCGTATGAATGACAACCGATGGACAAGAGCCGATAGTGAGTGAATTCCTCGAGATGTCAAACGTACTGCAGGAAGACCACAGACCCGATGGTCAGAGTTCTTCGCGAAGAGCCTTGAAAAAAGATATGATGCTCGGGGAGTACATAGAGCTACCAAAACCCACTGGTCTATTCTTGCACGCGACGGGGAGAAATGGAAGATTTACTGGCGCCCGCTCGAGTCACTCGAAGACCAACGGAACCACAGGTGATACAAGTGAGTGAGACAAATTCGAGAGAGTGAATAGCACAGTGGCAGTGTTGACCGTCGCCACAAGCATGGTGCCAGTTCGATTCTGCTCCGGACCAACCAAGCCTCTCATCACTTTAGGATTGAGAAATTAGTACCAGACTTGTCTGAAAAAAATCGCTTTCTGTAATCCAACTGGAAACACCCAATCTAGGCTATCTCAGGACTTCAGGGAGAATTGCATGACCAGCATTCTACGACATTCAAAATGAAATGAAAAATCCTCAGGCAGCAACCTTGGCCTCATGTATAATGTTGGAAGATCTTCATGGACGATGGATGCGAGGAAACGAATCGAATGTGAGAAGTGCTGGGATTTGCACAGTAGACGTGAAGTCGGGTCATATAAAATGAAATAAAATGAAAAAAATTAGAAAAAACCTTGAAGTATTAAAATCGGAAGAACTCTTCAAGATCTAATCCAGCAAAATCAATTCTTCAAGTGATTTTTCAGCAAAGCCTGTGTTGCTAATAATGTGATTTTTTTCCTCTAGCAGTTGCTGAAATGACTTAAGTGTGTGCAACAAATAATCGCTACAAACTGTGCTTACAAGTTTTCGCATGACCGAAATTCTTTTCGCAGCACTCAATTAGAGATGCACAACAAAGCTGTGAACAGTAAACTACTTGAAATCTTCATTACTGGACGATTTATTGATCAATTTGAGGTTTTTGGCAACTCAACGGTTTCCTGTTGGTTTTGTTTTGTAATCTAACCTATACTATATATAATCTAACCTATACTAACCTAAATGTGACCTATACTGCAGCGTGGACTTCGTCGGATGTTAATGATTGTTTCCAGTTTGATGGGAAATAGAAGAGTCTTGATAAGCTTGATTGAATGGTTGAGGTACGCAGCGGTGTCCAGGTGTCACACAAATGGACAATGAAGAGTTTAACAATAACTTTTATACCGACATTCATGTAACTCCGGTAGTAAAATAATCAGGATGTATATAAATTGCTGAGCTTACACGAGGTAAAAAAAGCGAAGCGAAACGACTAAAAGTTAGCCGAATAACGCTGATTTATCAACATCGTGTAATCGCAACAGCTTAAAGAAATGAATAGTGCTTTTCGTAGGTGAAACCCAAAACCTGTGTAGCACATATGTAGGCTGTGTGTAGGCTAAATTTGCTTCCACAGCAGCGAGCTAGCATTCTGGCGGGACGAGAGCTTGAAAATACAACCGACAACTAAGAAAGTTACCTTCATACCCCGCTTCACTTTGTTCTCTGAATTCATCAGTTGATGACAACTTTTTTTTCAACCGGTAGTCCATCCTGCAGCAGTCAGTGTTTTGTTGGCTAGAGCATGGCGAACAGCAGAACTCTAGGAATACGAACTTCTTTTATTTTACATCATCTGACATCGCACGTTGTGCGGATAACAATATCTCTTCCAGATCATTCGTTTCGTTGCATCCATCATCTACAAAGGTCTTCGTATTTCATCGTGAGTCCACCTATGGCCTTTGTGGCGGTCCGTTTAGCTCACTCACTATATACAGCTTTAAAAAAAGCCACGTATCTATTCAAGCGATACTAATTATGTCCGACTCTGGAATTGCACTAAGTTGGATACGATCATCAAATTTAGGAAAATCAGTGGGAGTACTAGTAAAAAGCTGCATCAGGGAAATACGTCGAATAGATAAGGTTTTGCAAAATCTCATTCAATTTGCTCTATGACAACTACGAAAACTCTCGCGGTGGCGTCTTCTCACGAAGTCGAGCATTCTAGTTAAAGCTAGTGGCTATTCGGTGCCGAGAACTGACTCAAACGCCTATTCTCCACTGGCAACTGCATTAACCTCAGATTTCGGCTTTCCTACTACGTTTTCCTGAATGCTGACCAAGGCGATTCTCTTTGGAATCTTCACTATACTCACCCATTCCTCGATCTTCTTCATTGGCCCAGCTACTAAAAGCGAGGTAACTGCGATGCCTAACCACACATTACTGAAGATTTTCCTGTTAGCATCACAGTCCATTAGTATCAGCTTCGTACCGCACCATTGCCTTTAAATACTATACGAATAGAGCAGGTCAAAAGTTCAATATGATCCTGTGGGACAATAGACTAATGTATTCAGACTGAGAAACCTTTGGAATAGCTCAATCGATCGATACCCATCCACGGTACAAATTGATGTTGCCTGCTGAGTGGCATTTATACCAAAATTTCAACGAAAGTAGCACCTTCGATAATTTGGGCAAGTTGGTTGTAACTCGAAAAAATCACCAATGGAGATTTCCTAGTCCTCACGATTGAACGCAAAGGAAGTCACAATTTTCTAGTGCCGGCAATGATGTACGCGTACTCCATAACAATCCACCTACGATGTCAACGTCATTTTTTTTTGAAGCAAAGATTTGGATTGATATTTGTGCATCTGATCAAATACTAAGAAGGCCGCCAACAAAAGGATTTCACACAAACAGCTGTGCAACAGTGTGAAATCAGCCACATTATTTCGACTATGTCACGCGAGATTAGAAAATGAGGATATGTACTGCCCAACAGAAGGCCAACCACTCTAGAAATTCTTATTATACAGTGGGGTCAAAAAAGGAATACAGAAATCACACTTTGTAGTCTACAAACCGACTTTCCTTTAACCTTACTAAGACTCAGCATGTATTCTTTCACTGATAGGCTAACACGACATTGGTAAAAATGTCTTTTCAGCTAACGCTTCAATGCCTTCGTCTTCCTCAAAGCCGATGATCCCTGTCGATGCCCGAGGTAGTTTCTGCTTTTGATGTGGTGAAACCGTTGTCGTACCAAGTCGGACTTCTCCAGTGGAGCACAGCTTGGATAAGGCAAGATCACACGGCGATACTCCTTAATATAAGACGGTTGTTGTGAATAGTGATAGCCTAGTGAAAACGAAGATATCGAAAGTTTACCCGAAAATAAAGTTCTTTATCAAACTCGTATTGCCCTGTCATTGAAAGAATACATATACTTTGTAGTGCACGAAATCTGAGAAATATAAGTGACATATATGAATATAACTTAAAAGAACGACTTCCGACAAACCTTGGCATTAATAATCGGTATGTATCTAAATCCATAATAATTGCCGTCGTTAAACTGACGCGAGTTGGTGCCACTTGATGGCGTTGTCGTCGTGACTCGGTGCCTGACGTTTCGGCGACTTCGCCTTCTTCTGAACTTGAACATATTTTATGCGACTCCATTCATATAATTCGGCGAATCATCTGTAGTATTAATAACGATCTAGCAGATAACTGAGTGCCCTTTCATTTGAAGACAACTCATCGTGTTGCTGCGTGTGGAACTACCGATGTGCTCTTCGCCACACTGGATGACGAGTGAAACTCCATCCAGATCAGAAAGCCAGTTTGGAAAAAGGCACTAGATCACGTGTGTTAGTGAGGCATTCGTCTTCCAAATGCATCTTTGCGCTTTTGAAACATATCCAAAAAACCTCAATAGTCTTGCACGTTGATCTTTTTGATTTCTGAGCTCGGATCCTGACAGTCACTTCAAAATAATCGCCATTGTGCTGTTGTGCCCTTGCGTGCTACGAGGATTACTATGCCGAGTCTTAAGTCTTCCGTCTGGATGTTCTTTATACGGAAAAGACGGCATATACATATAATTCATTTCTTTTGTGTCTCAATAGGTCCACACTCTTTCTATGTCTCTTTCTATCTTTTTTGTTTCTATGTTTCTATTTCTACTTTCTAGCTGCAAGTCTTTAAACCATATGTGTTCAAGATTTGCTTCATGTGATATCACACAACAATCAGCAGTTTATCCAGCATACAATCTAGGGCATCAATGAGTGTCTGGATGAGACAGACACCGGGGAGATCGTACCAGACAAGAGTATCCAATGCACTAACAATGAAGGAGTTAAACGTTTCATGTGGAAAAGATGCATTTGTGCTGGACGTAAACAAATGCTGAGAATCACTGAAATTCTGTCAGCAAAGTATCTACTGGCTGTCAACGTACTAAGTCCTAAGACGACTACCGAGACTAGCCAAAGGTCATAGCCATTCAGTAGATTTCTTTTCGTAAAAATTGGGCTGCGATGCTCATTGCTCGCCATGATTCGTAATGATGGATCGTCCAGTTATCAAGTTTCAAGTCAATAATGTACATACAAATAAACTGTGCAGAAGAACTTCTTGTTTTCAAGAGCTGTTTGGAGGATTACACTCGTCATTTTCAACCTGAGATCGTTCAGAGTAATCACATATATCTTTGCACGATGAATGGCTCGATTCTGCGAAGCACAAAGCTTTTTGGTGTAAAAATTCAGCAGTTACCTAGTAACCTATCTGAGTAACTGACAAATGGCCCTGGTATTCTATAATTTTACGAAAGCTGCATTAAGAAACATCAGAAATTGTGAGAATACGCCTAACTTACAAATAGTCAACGTGTGAAGCTCTCTGCTTGCATTTGTTTTCTCTAGGTGTTGATTTTCAACCTCAGGTACAACCTTGCTTAGTGGTGCGTTATCGACGATAAGAGATTCTGCAAAAATCTATATTTTCATGTTTGCATTTGTATGTGACAGATAGTTACTCGAAATAACGAGCAAGCAGAAAGTTAAGTGACCGGTTGTATTTGTGGGACAGACCTTTGACTATTTTTTCCAAAATTCTGCCCGGTACATCGGCAGGAATCGACCGACAGTTTTGGAACATAGGAACAGGTTAAAACCACATTTAATTTGTAGAGCAGATTCTCGGCAATTATCATAGAAAATTGTGACTGTTCAAGGGAAAAGCAGGCAAAGCACATCGGTTTGGCATGATACCGGAGAACAGCTCAACAACGTTGTTTGAACAATACAGGCATTAAAAGGTGCTGAGATATTAGCAAAACTCTGAGCCTCAAGTGCGCTTCGAACACTCAATTACCTATTCCGTGGCCCATGTTTCATTCACTGCATCACTGAAGCACTTGTTGTGCCTTTTTCTTCAATCACATTCTCACCTTAACGGTGCAATCAGCAATCAGTCGTCCACGGGAATGATCTGGGAAGCGCGAATCAGCATCGGGCTCATTTAAGCCGAGGCGGCAGACGAAATGACAATGTACCAACTTTTATTTTTTGCCTATTCTTTTCCATGGTAGAGTACTATGTAGAATACCTATCTTAGTATTCCTATTATATTCCACATCGTGCCCTGCTACGAAAACCATCCGCAGTAAATAGAAGTGACAATATCGTGATTTCGACAGCAACTTTATTATAACTGGGTTCGATATCGATTTTTGCATTCCATATCTTCCCCGTTTATGGGTGACCGCTTATTGCATCTTTAAAGTAAAAAAAGGCTCCATTGGACTTCGACTGGTGTGGTGGATAACATGTGAGCTCCTAGAAAGGGTAATCGCTGGTTTAAAGTCTATCTGAAGCGCAGAGTTTTGCATATATCTCAGCATCCTTGCGGTTGATGTTCACGGAACACCCTGCCCTTTAAAAAAGAAAAGGAAGCGTATACAACCTAAAATGTTGCGAATACCGATAGTGTCTACCTTTCTATCTTAATGCTTATGTTAAAATGTCAATGAAGGTCTCAAGGCAAGGTCGCAATTTTTTCTGCATGTCAAAAAAAGGGAAATTTTAGCCACTTCTTATGAATATAAAGGACATAAGTGGCTACTGAAAAGTGGAGGAAATGTTCCGTCGTTATGAGTTCTTTTCTGCACCCTTTCTAAAAAGGGCTAAGTTTTTACGCAGACTGTCATGGACAATAAAAACAGTCCAATGATGCTGAGATATTTGCAAAATTCCGGGCCGCAGGTGTATGCGGTGGGGAACGAACGCGCTATTGTCCTCTTCGGGGAGTAGTGCGTTCACCACCACACCACACAGGTCCTTCGTTTCGCCTGTCTCTCAGCTATTTTTATCGATCTTTTGCCAACAGCAATCATCCGTCAGCGGAATTGATCTGGGAGGCTGAGAGACAGGCGAAACGAAGGACCCGCGTGGTGTGGTGGTGAACGCGCTACTCCTCGGAAAGGACAATAGCGCGTTCGTTCCCCATCATAGACACCTGCGGTCCGGAGTTTTGCAAATATCCCAGCATCATTGAAGTTATATTTCACAATGTATACCTTGCCGTTAAAAAGAGTAGGCAGTAAATAATAAGCTAAAATTCTTAATAAAAACAGTGTTATATCGTGCACCGGACAATAATCTACGAGATTAGAATTATGGACGAAATAATCCTCAAATTCTGTGTCACATAATAACTTCTTAGGCCATGAGAGCGCTAGTTCAGAAACCGAGTGATCGACAAAATGCGGTAAGGACTGCAAAGGCTGTGGTCAACATCGGTCGCGGGGACCGTATTTGTCCCACGACAATACCTGGGCGCACTCTTAAAGTTATGGAATTTGTTGGAATTGGAATACAGTACCTTACACAATTCAGCTTGCTCTCCGGAGCTTACGTCAAAAAACCGCCAGTTCTTGAAGCAGATTGTTAACCAAATGCTTTAAAAAATGATGCTGAAATCGCTGCTACGCTGTCAAGAAATGACAAGGCGGTAACACCTCGAATTTGAAAATTCGTCTTCAAAGCGCTCTTGTGTTCTCATTAGTGACGTAAATAGCTTTTGAAAGAGCTGAAGATATTTTCAAATTAAACCATAGCAATCTTTAAGAGATTGAGTAATCTACGTAGTCGTTTAGAGACTCGATGTAGAAGAAATCATTTCTTTTAAATGTACTGTTTAGGGTAGTGGCTCCAGTGGTTGCTACATGCACAACAAATAAAGAAATACATTGTAAAAGGAAGAAAAACGATTATAAGACGTAATATGTCGGCTTCTCGTATGAAATGCTCGGATGATGAAAAATCCGGATGGTGTAGTGGTGAAGTGCGCTGCTCCCCGGTAAGGACAACAGCGCGTGTTCGTTCTCCATTGCATACACCTGTGGTCCGGAGTTTTGCAAATATCTCAGCATTTCATACGAGTTATATTTCGCAACATAACCTGCCATTAAGAAGAAAAAGGCAGTAAATAAAAGAGTTAAGATTACGTCGGCTTCGCTGGAAAAATGGTAGGATTTGATCAGATGGCCTTGTGATTGCACAAAGATCGTGAAAAAGGTCGTGACGCAGTTGAACGTTATCCAATATCCACGTTGCTTTGGTATTTCTAGACGTGACGCTGTTGTTCAAATAGAAGCGGTAGCGTATTTAACGGAAGTCTCCAAGCTTCGTTCTCTTTTCCAGCTCTTCATCGCTAATGGTCTGCCGGCTGTGCTTAAGATTTCCACTCTCTAGCTTTTCAGACCTTAAAGAAACGCTTGAAATATTGTCCTTCATATGCGCTAGTGCAAAAAAAAATATTTTAGTAATTTTGTTCAATAGAGTGCAACTAAAAATACAAAAATGCAATAAAATAAAATAAAAAATAAAATATAAATAAAATAAAATAAAATAAAAAATACAATATTAAAAATACAGTTTATATTGTGATTTGTTCTCCAAAAATGCTATATCAGTTGAACTAAACTTTTCGCAAGCTTATCTCTATGAAGTTTCGTTGCACAAAAAGAAATGTTGAGAACGGTGCTGCATTCTGCTCAGAGGCAAATGAAGTCTTTCAGAATTTCTCTTTCTATAGCTCCTCTTCAAAATGGGTACCGACAGAGTTTGAATTGCACCACACTTGCTGACATGTGTTGTTCCGAGACCTTTCTACAGTTGTTGTTGTTCGAATAACATTTTTACACAATAGAATTGAGATAATCCGCGGTCTTCCAGCAACGGTCAGAATGGCGTGCTCGTTCGTAATATGGCAGCTTTTCGTCTACCTGAGTGTCGCTGAGTTGGTGATGGCAAGGGTAAGTGCCATAGAACGAGACACTTGGCTTTTGATTATTCCAAAACGAATAATTGTGTTAAAACACCATTTCATGTGTTCGCTATTTTAAAAAAGGATATATAAGCACAGGAGCGTAGAACAAAAACCAACTCATATCTTGTGTTTTGAGATAGTTCGAAAATAATGTGGTCATGAAAATATTTCACATAAATTACTCTAATAACTTCTTTAGGGAAAAGTAATCGACATTTTCAATGGAGGAAAAGGTGATATTCTACAGCTTCACAGAGCCACTAGGTGAGTTCATGGTTTGCTCGCTCTCAGTCTGACCTATTTATGAGACAAAACAACGCATAAAATGAGATTACATGTGTACAGAAATACACATGAGGGATAAAGCATAAAAGACAAAGACTCTCGCCGTTGCTCAGTCCTTCAGGAGTGCCCCATGCATTTCACTTCATTAAGCATCGTTAGGGGTGATTGAAAGCATATTAGGCCACACAATGACTTGCGTTGGACTACAGAAATATCAAGTTAGCGCTACTATCGTCACAGACTTGTCTGGCACCAATTTAACAATCTTCGTCGTTTACACGTTGACATCAAACTATGACGAACAAGAAGTCGAAGCGTTCTGTATAGGCCTGGAGAAGTACTACAGCGAAGACCATGCATTCTTCAAGGTCATTCCAAAACCTAAGTCCCAGAACAACCCCAAACCGGGACTTATTCAATCCATTAGTCGGCTTTTAGGAAGATGCCGTTGTCGATAAAATCGACGAAGAATACGTTCGGCTCATTTAACATCTTCACGTTAGCGCTATAAAAACTGAGAGTTCGAAAGTCACCAAGAGACGTTTGTCTCCAGAAACGCTCGAGCTGGTAAGCCAGCGTGGAATCGAACGAGCTACAGGCAACCGCGAACTAAAGTCCGAACTTGCAGAACAATGCAGACAGGCGATAAAAAAGATCTAGCTTAAAGAGAGAAGAGCAGCAGTGATGGTCGAAGCTGCAGAGGCTGGAAAAAGTATTCGCAAACCCCACCGAAGCTTGGCCAATTACAAGACCAAAATGGTTGCACTCCAACGCCCAGAAGGAGCAGTTACAGCATCCAGAAAGGCTATGGAGAAAATCATTCGAGAATACTACTCAGATCTCTTCGATAGCCACGTCTACCTTCCGTCATATGAAATAAAGGAGAATGGATATGTTGTACCACCGGTTCTCCTTTCCGAAATTCTATATGCCATTTCGCCGGTGAAAAATCGAACAGCACCAGGTCCAAACAGGGTGAGATCTGAACACTTCAAGGACCTTCCAGCGGTTCTCGTAAACACACTGGCTCGGCTCTTCATACCTTGTCTGAATGCAAGGTTTCTACTCACTGAAAGGCCAGCATGACCGTGTTATTCTTCAAGAAGGGTGACCTACACGTGTACCACTTTCATCGATTTACAAAAGGCCTTAGATTCAGTTAAGATAGAAGCTGTCTTGGAAGCCCTTGATAGTCAAGGAGCCCCTACTCAGTACATAAAGATTCTTCGTGAGCTGTAAAAAAATTTCACAACCATGTATCATCATTCTACAACGATATTGACATTGACGTCAAAACAGGATTTAGGCAAGGCGATACCATCTCGTTAAAATTATTTACCGCCACCTTCCAAAACGTCATGCCAACATTGGAATGGGATAATATGGGAGTGAAAATCAACGGTCGGCAGTTACATCATCATCGCTTTGCTGATGACATCGTCCTTATAACACCAAACAGCCAAGCGGAACGTATACTCGCAGACTTTGATAAGGCCTGCGGAAAGATTGGTCTTCGTCTAAATCTCACAAAAACGATGTTCATGGAGAACGGAATGTTTTCGCATGCCCCATTCACGCTCGACGGAGCCAATGTCTTCCAATGCTCCAGTTATGTCTGTCTAGGTCGGGAAATCAACATGTTGAGCGATTTAGCTTTAGAGTTGAGCAGATGAAAACGAGCGGCTTGGGGAGCTTTCAAGAGCATCAAAGAAGTGGTGAGAAGAACAAAGAGCACCCGACTCTGTGCCCACCTTTTCGCCTCAGCGGTACTTCCTGCGTTAACGTATGCGTCAGAAACTTGGTCGCTGCGTAAACAGGATGGAAGATCACTCACCGTTATTGGAAGTGCAGTCGAAAGGACGATGCTAGGAGTATCCCGTTTCATAGAAGTAAGGAATGGGATCGGAAAATCCGACGTGCGTCATCGATCAAAAATCAAAGATGGCGTTCTTTACGCCAAACAGTCGAAGATAAGGTGGGCCGGACGCATAATGCTCATAAATGACAATCAATGGACAGAAGCCGTTAGTGACTGAATTCCTCGGGATGTCAAACGCATTGCAGGAAGACCACCGAACCGATGGTCACAGTTTTTCACAAAGAGCCTTGAAGAAAGATATGGTACTCGACGGGTCTCTAGAACGAGCAGAACACACTGGGCTACTGCGCGTGACAAGGAAAAGTGGAAGATTTGCTGGCGCCCGTTCGAGTGACTCGACTACCAACGGGCCTACAGGCGATACAGGTGACAGAGTAATGGAAGCTTTGGTGAACTTGGGCGCGGAATCGAACTAAGGAGCACGCCACCGATGAATATATTGATGTCCGAAATTGTCGAGAACTTGATGGCACGTGATATCAACTGTGCTCTGAACCTAACCCAGCCACCAGTCCTTCATACTGAATCCTGAAAGCTAGTGTTCATAAGCACCAAAACCAAATGAACAACTAGGATTTCTACAATAGAACATGTTGGTGCTCCACAATGTATCGCGGCTGGAAACGGCACTTGTATGGGACATTTGGAGACGCTGGATGTCGATTTGAACATTTTAAGCAAATTCATTAAATCAATAAAATCTGATGGAATCTGCATTTAATTTTAAGGCAGTTAATAGAGTAAGATCTTTTCTGAAAGTTTCCTTTCGTCTTGAATTGCTCTAGCTATCGAGGATTTGCTTATAATTGGCAGAGAACAAGGCTTATAATTGGCTTATTCACAATGCCTAAATATTGTTTTTTTAAAAATAGTTCACCGCTTCCATATTCAATCACTTGTTTAAGATCAATCAATAACGAAAAGTTGCACAACGCAATCTTCAGTGACTCTCATCGTAAATGGAATGTGAAGGACTCGAACGGAAACACCGTGATACCGTACATAATCTCAGGAGCATATGGTATATAGGGTGGCCACTAAAAGCGACAGAATTTCTCGAAATTTTCTGAACCTCCTCGTTTTGCACACAATGAGAGCTAAGATGAAGCATAATGACATTTTCTATTCTCAAAACTTCAAACAACAATCGGTGGAAAAGGGGTCAATCGGATGAAGCAGTTCAGAATATAGATGATAGTTACTATAATGCTGAGATATTTGCAAAACTCCGGACCACAGGTGTCTGCGATAGGGAACGAACGCGCTATTGTCATTTCCGGGAAGTAACGCGTTCACCATCACACCATGCGGGTCCTTCGTTTTGTCTGTTTCTCAGCTAGTTCTACCGATCTTTTGCCATCAGCAATCACCCGTCGCGCGATTGATCTGGAGAGCCCAAATCGGCATTGAACCCAGTTAAGCTGAGGCTATAGTTATAATCACAATTCTAACTTATTATTTACTGCCTATTTTTTTAATGGCAGTGTATACTGCGAAATATAACTTTAATGATGCTGATATATTTGCAAAACTCCGAACCGCAGGTGTCTGCGTTGGGGAACGAACGCGCTTTTGTCCTCTCCGGGGAGTTCTTGGCAAATTTCTCAGCATTATAATAGTTGTATTTCCCAAAATACCCTGCCGTTAAAAAGAATAGACAGTAAATAAAGGGTTAAGATATATGATAGTTGTTTTTGACAGCTCACGTGGTTTTTTAAAATTATATAAGAAAACATCGATTTTTCCCATAGAGATGATCCTGAAGAACTCGAAATATCCGGAGTCTCGAAAGACCGACTTTCTATAAACCTCGGCATGGATAGTTGATATACTTATTTATATGATCTTATGAACTGGTCTTTTTAAACTGACGCGAGGTTGGTGCAGGTCTTCGTTGTCGTTGCCGTTATTGTTGGTGTTGTTGGTCGATGGCTGACGTTTCGGCGATTTCGCCTTCCTCAGAGCATGGACGTATTTTATATTAGAATATTTTTACTATTCGGTGGAAAAAGGTTAAACTATTAATGAAGATCAAGCTTTCTTCTCTTCCGAATAATAAAAATATTCTAATATAAAATACGTCCAGGCTCTGAGGAAGGCGAAGTCGCCGAAACGTCAGCTGTCGGCCAGCAACAACAACAACAATGACAACGACAACGAAGACCTGTACCAACCTCGCGTCAGCTTAAGAAGATCAATTTATAAGATCATGTAAATAAATATATCTGGAGTCTGATGGAACATCGTAGTTCATCTACTGATAGCACTTTAGCGAAGTAGGAACAGAGAATACATTTGCACGGTTGCAATCACAAAGGGCTTAAACGTTAGCTGTTAAAAAGTTTTAAATACTTTGAAATTCCCAAAGACAAATTTATTTTCGGTAATGACGTAGACTTATTCAAGTGCTTTGACAAATTTTCATGAACGAATCGCCTACGCTTACGGATCGAGTGACAAGTTGATAAAGTTTATTTATATTTTAAGATGCCACCGAACTCAATACAATAAAAGAAGGGATGAACCGAATTGAAAGAAACACTTGTATTCGCTTTCGACAGAGAAGCACTGAAGCGGATTACATCGACATTCAGAATGCGGTGGGCGAAGGGTGAGTGCCTTTGTTCACGAAAAAGTACCAAAGAGTAATCAGATCGTTAGTAATCAGGTCATCATTTATGTGGATAGAAACATTGTTGAAAAGAACGCTACATATATGTTAGATGACTCTTCACCACATGTGCCACACTGTGGTGATAACACCATTTCTTGTACTCGATTCCTTTCTTCGGACCCACTATCGACAGAATTCTTTGTACACTTTGCTCGTACTGCTGTTTGAGGGTATTCGTCTTGTCATTAATGTCGTCAAATGACGGTCAAGTCAATTCTCCTTGCACTCTCTGGATATGATCCTCCCAACGGTTTACCGCTTCATCGTGGCTGGGAGGTGTTTCTGGGTGTCGGACTGTGATGTACAACAGGGGGATTCGTCTTCCTCGAAGTGTCTCCTAAGATGAGAAGGAATCTGGCGTTTGCATCAGCAAGCCTAGCTAACACTAAACCAGTATCAGGATCCGCCACTGTCCTGGTGTAAAAGTCGCATAGTGGCAAATCTCCTTCTGATCCACAAAGGCTGCGACCGGCCGTGATGGTGAAGAATTGGGGCAGGCTTTAGTCAGGCTGACCTCGGGACCCCAAGGACCACAATTGTTTAACCAGCAAATCTCCGAAAAATGGTGAATATGCTGGGGCCACCACCACTGAGAATGAGCCGTTCTAGTGTCAAGTGTCAAGTGCAAGTCCTTGGACACCCGTGTTGCGGTGTTCTCATGTGAATTAGAAGGAATGAGTTTATCACAGGCAGGCCTAAAACCGATTTCCGAGTGATGAGAGCATTGGCCGGTGAAGTAGGGTCTTAAATTATCGCTTGACGAGGTTGCACAGCAAATGCTAGTGGCTAGAAATTTCTAGAGACCTAAAAGCAAATGAAATTGGAGGAGATAAAGAGGTTTAAAGCTGATCAATTTCGTGGAAGTGTGATATGACCCAGAAAACATGCTAGAGGATATTGAATGCATATATAACTGTGGAATGATCTACGAAGGCTTGCTGATGCATTAATTCAATAATTCATCGTTTTGTTGATTAGCGCCCACGAGTGTGTTACATTATTCTTTACTCAAGAAAGAATCTAACGTTTTAACGAAATTCACCTTTCTCAGAGCTGACAAAGATTAACCCTACTAGAATCTAATCAGCTAAACACCTTCATAGCCTAATGGAAATATCGAGAAACCTAGACTTCAATCGCATTCCTTCGCTTACCGCTTCTATGACTATTCCACTGAGTATCCCGTGTGGATACAATCGCCAAAAAGTTCACATGAACTGGTAATGTACCTCTCTCACATTGAAATATAACTCCGAGTTACTGTGGGAAATCACGCGTGATTACGAAGCGTTCCTCCCTGCGGTTCATTTGTGGATTCCGTATTCCGTGGAATTTACCCGAAGGACCTCGAGCGTTTTACAGGGCAAAGTTTTCGATTTTGTGATACGATTGTGACGTCCACTTCGAAATAGTCTCCGTTGTGTCGCTGTGTCCTAGCTGCGCCCAGCGAAGTACATGGTTTAGCTTTGACTTTACAGACTATTTGTTCATTTACACAGACACGAGTAGTCTAGCTGTTTCGTCAAAGTAGTAGTCTTAAAACGCTTTACAAGAAATTAGGTGCCTCGAAAGCGAACTCGTGCATTCACCGTCCTACCGTCCTTACCGTTCGGACATATCATTGAATTTTGTGTTGCGAGTAGACGGCCTCATAAATGGTTACGAAGCAGCTTCCGTAATGCAGTGTTCGCTAGTATTTTAATCATTGCCACCGAATTTTCTATATCGCTCTTTTCAAAGAATCTTTTCAAACGCCATTGAAAACTAGGTTTTGTGACTTTTCTGGTGGGGCAATGAAAGCATTTGGTTCATTAAATTGCAGTCAGTTTGATCTTTCTGGGTGGTGCAGAACGCGAAATTCGTTTAAGTGTCAGCTATTTACGAATAAAGAATAAAGTAAGAAACTCCTGTAAGCTTATCAAAAAAGGCCGAATACTGATAAGCAACGAGGTTTGTACAAAATCGGTCCTGGGAGCCATCAAGTTAGAGCTTTTTCTTGCCTTTGCATACGAGAATACGGTAGCCGCTTGCCGACCTCGGTAGGATGGAAGATTTGTTTTGGTCGCCTGTTTAACTTTTATGTTACCAACATCCTCAACAAAAGGTACATCAGAAAAATTGACTATTAAAGAATACATAAAGAGAAGGTTGTGGCATTAATGGTAACAGTTGTAGCAGTAAAACACCAACAAAAGCATTTTACATCAGTAGACCTAATAACTTCCGGACAAAGATTCTTCAAATGTCGCTTAGCAGTTTTTCTCGCTGTTTACTAAGAGACTCTGCTATGTAAAATTTAAAGAAACACATATGAAAGTGAGCACAGCTTGATTTTTGCCAATACTGCGAAACCGGTTATAATCGTCAGTTTATAGCAAGGTGTGAAGAAAAAGCTTTCGACGAAAAGCGAATTCAATTAGTTGAAGAATGTTGCCGGTTCTGTGATTTACTCAATGCAGAAATTCTCAGCTGTTCGATTTCAGGTGTTACACCAGTGTGGGTCGTCTGACAGGACGAAGTGTACTGATGCTTGAAGCAAGCGAAGATGGCACGTTAGTTCTTTCCAAGATGTCTATATGCAGCATTTACACATGTTTTGAGTTCAACGTGGAAAGAACCTTTCCGAAGATATAAGAAAGCCGGTTTGATATCCGAGGTAATATGTAGGGCCATTGACTTGGTAGACTTGCTAGTCAACGCTTCGATAATCGACAAGCACAGATTACTCATCTAAGACCTTGTGCGGACGGTCTCCATCAACAACTGGAAGATTTTAAAGGGCAAGACGGCTCTGAAGAATGCGAAACTGCCGAAGCGTCATCCACTTCAACAATTCTTATGCTAACAATCATGCGCCCAAAAAACTGACTGTTATTAGACCTCGGTAAAAAGAACAAATAATTTTTCTGCATAATTGAGTTGATACGTGATTGGTATAATGAAGGAGGAGTGCCCGACACCTTAGCCGACCAGTAAAAGTTTCCCATGGCAGCCTCGTGCCATCTCAGCCGTATAGAAAATTATTCATCTCGTCTCTGTTAAAGAGGAAAACATCAACTTGTTGATCGTTGCTGAGATTAAGAGAAAGTGGGTCTTGAGAATCGGGTGGAAAGTTGACCGGCATACAATTCACAGCTAGATACGCAATAGTCTGGCTACGGCTAACTATCGTTACTCCAGATTGTCAAATCTGTGAAATGTTGCGAGGCTTCTTCGCTCAAAAAAGCTTACCATATCTTTTAAACCTTCCAGTACTTTCACCCGCTGTCCTACTAACTAAGACAAGCGTCTCATTTCTACCTCTTACCACGGTTTTTCATCAGTACTACTTACGATAAGTGAAGTTCTTCAACCAAAGCGTAAATCGCCTTCGCATTCACAGAGCACAAATGCTATGAAAAGAAATTCAAGAAGAAGACAAGTCAAATGGTAATGAGTGACATGGTTTCTCGGCATTCGCTGACATATTTTCCTGAGACTTTCAACTGTTTAGATGCGTTGTAACTGAAATCGTTCAACACGAGCTGCTGCACGTGATCGGACTGTGGCACGAGCATATGAGATACGACAGAGACAAATACATCAGAGTGAATTACGGAAACATTCTCCCAGGTTCATCATACGAATCACCCGTAACACTATTTATTTCACTGAAACTTCCCTGAGTTTAAAGAGCTTTTCGGTTTCCTTTTCTCATTAAATGAAACATTTTATTTCAAGCAACTCAGTTACTTGATTAGGAACGTTGCTATAGCAGCTTGGTTTCAATGATTTGTTCCAGTCTACCACAATAATTTCTACGTCACTATTCTTTTGTTTTGACAAAGTCGGTAAGCAATGCCCAATCAGCTCTGCTGAAGTGATTCCGTGATCAGGCCATCCATAACAATGGAAAAATGGGACCGTTACTTCTATCTGATGAATTGAATACGTTCTCATCACTAGAGTTCCTTAAGTGGAAGGGGATTTCTTTAGCACATAATCTCCAGCGTGAGTGAATTTTCACTCATAAATGGCTCGGCGTAATAACCGGCGGTGCTTTTACTTTGAAGAGGTGCTTAGTAGAGAACTGAACTATAGAGAGGAAATTACAACAAAAAGAATGTAACTATTTAATTGCTAGTGCGTAATCAACAGCATGAATGGATATCCAGTCATAGAGAGGCAGTCGGAAAACTGCAGGCCAAATAGGTGCGGCAGACACGTTGGTTGAGGAGTCGGTCTTTGTCCGCTAGCTGCTTTCAAAGTTCAATCCTTTTATTAGTTTATAGATATAATGCCTCTTGGTATGACAAATATCACAACTCATCACGAAATAAAAAGCTTGGCTTTTCTTGACGACGACAAACTGCTGACCCGTCACTATGGTTCTTGGCATGTTATCGTGTCCCACTTCCAGAACAAAACGCCATGATTTTGTTAATAGCCTTGACAAATTTTAGGTCAAAGATCGCAGTTCGATATAGTATCCTCCGCACAGTCAACGCTGTATAATATCCCTTACGACTATAAATCGGTAATGCATTACGGAAAGGCAGCGTTCGCTCGGCCAGGCACAGTAACCATGGAAACGCTTGATTCTAGATATACGGTACAGCTATACTTTCTAAATTCTTGATCTTTATCGTCCCATCTGTGATGGTGTTTTTACGATTGTTTTCAGAATGTGATTGGAACGCAAACTGACGCCTCCTCAAGCGACTATCAAAAGGTTTGCAACATCTACGGCTGCAAAGTGTGTAACAGTGGAATCACAGAAACAAATGATGAGAATGGAGATAAATGGAGACCCGAACCTGAACCTGAGACTGAGTCTGAGACTGAGCCTTCGACCGACAAAGGTATTTCTATTGAACTCCGTTTAATGAATCATTTTTGGAGCACGTATGAAGTCGAAATTTACTAGCACTCAGCGCCATGATGCCTAAGAGTTGGTCTTCGACCCCAATCAGCATTGAAACTTTCTAACAAAATATCGAAAGCACCGCAATAGTCATTTAAAAATAAGATCTTAACCAATACTGAAACTGCCTGTACGCTGCTTCTTGTGATATAACTGCTTACGGTGGAGCTCTAGTGTAGAGCAAAGGCTTATCCATATCATGGTCGCCCAAGCTTGGAAGGTGATCGACATTTCTAGGTGGAAGTCCAGCTCTGAGTAAACTACACAACAGCAGACACTGTCGACCTACCCGTGACTAAATTCAAACGGAAAAAAGTAGTGGAAATGGCGTCACAAGAAAACTGAGGCGCTCTTTCTAATCACAAAGTCAATACGCCCTAGGCAGCTTCTTTTGGCAGCCTCTAGGCTCGCGGCTAATTTCCTTGCCTTCCTTAACAATATCGGTGTATCACAGCGTTCGATAACTTATTTGCTTGGTTCATATTTCAGTGGAAGATTATTCGAAAAGATTCTTGTGAAATTTTCCATTCAAGAGTGAACGGGCACCGAAGTTTGAATAAGTTTTTGGAAGTCGGTTACCTCGCTCTAAGACTCCTTAATAAGGAAGTAGTAATAACTGCAACAGAAATGCAAATGGCTGCTGTTTTATCATTCCTCCTTTCTTTGCAGAGTGTTCCGATAAGTTGACGAATGTTTGTCGAACAGTGAAACAACTGGGAGTTCTTGACTGCAGTTACGGCTATGCCAAGAAGTTCTGTTGTGCTACTTGCAACGCCGGAGAATCGGGCAGTCCTGATCTGTACTATAACGACCACTGAGAATGTCACAAAAAAATAGAGTGAACATACAGCATTCTTAATACATATTGAATCCAATGTTAACTATACATCTTAAGGCTATAATCAGGCCACTGTTTTAAAGCTCAAAAATTGATGATTATTAACCAAAAGTATGAAATTGGTTGAAGGCGCCCTGCACCACACACATGGGATCGGTCCTCTCGCCCCTAGTCCACCAAGCCTTCCATCACTCCAGGGTCGACAAATTGATACCAGACTTGTCTGGGAGGATAGCATCAGTGGATCGATACATCGGTAGGCCACCGCGAGTCATTCTAAAGGCCAGATATACATTTAATCACTTTTAAACAATGCTTAATGAAGTACAGTGCATGGAACACCCTTCAGAAATTGATCAACGCCGAGTGCTTTATTCTTTTGCATGAAATAACGATTCACTGTAGCAGAAAAAATTCTGGAGAACACTGAACACGAGTTTCCTCTCCTATATTCGGGCATTGTTAGAGTCACTTATCACTAAGTAACGAGGCACTACGGAGCACTATGTGCGCCCTAATCGCCGCCTTTGGTGGTTAGGCAAGTTACAGTCAGACGTTTCTGAAACGCTCCAAACCTGGTTTAGCATAATAAGAATTGCTGCTCACCAACTGCTTTAGGTAGTAAGTGTTAGGTTTCTACAAGAGAAATCCTCGATATTTGCCGGTTTATTTGAAGTGTCAAAAAGATAAAGGGTAAAACCTTTTCCACTAATGAATCCCTGAGAGATGCAACAAGCATTCGTCTTCACCAAGCATTATAGTAGAGGTTAAATGCATACGTGCTCTACACAGTGATTTTCGATGACCTACTGATGTATCCAGTCGAATCAGTAACAAAATGACTGCTGACATTTTCTTCTCGGCTACGATGAGTATATTGTCATGGCTCATTCTGCGGACAGGAATAAATATACGTAGAACATTATGCACATAACATAGAACACACATAAGAGCATTGAGATGTGCTCAATGGAGCCTTCGAAGTAAGACAGTCTTCCTAAATTGTTTTCTCATTTGACCTACGAAACCTACGAATATTCACACTAGGTTACATTTGGTTTATTTATTTATATAAACTTATAAACTGTTCTTCTTAAGCTGATAAGAGGTTGGTATAGGTCTTTGTTATCGTTGTCGGTGTTGGTGATGTTGCTGGTCGATGGCTGACGTTTCGGCGATTTCGCCTTCCTCAGAGCCTGGACGTATTTTATATCAGAATAATTTTATTATTCGGTGGAAAAAAAGGCTAAAATATTAACGAAGACCAGACTTTAAAATAGACGCCATATTGAACAGAGAGGCTCCTCACCGTGATGTTACGAGTGGGACTGGCCGACGCGTTGCTCACGTGGGGTCGCGAGCAAGGCACATCCCAGGGTAAAAATATCATTTTGAAATAGGACGCCAGGTCACGTGTGATAGTGAGGCATTCGTCTTTCCGGTTCATCTTTGGGTTTTTGAAATTTATTTCAAACCCACGTGAGCAGCGCGTGGCCCAGTCCCACTCGTAACATCAAACATCACGGTTAGTAGCCTTTTTGCCGAGGTTAATAGAAAGTCGATCCTGGGAACTATTACAAGATGTACCAGCAAAATATTTTTGACTTGTAAAGGAAGCATTATCACTAAGACAGAAGATTATCATAGCTAGACATCAAATCAACTTTCTCCGCCGCTGTTTTTAACATCGAGTAGTGCCGAAGTTTATAAAGCGACTTCACGAGATATGCGGTCAATCAGAGAGCAGCCAACTAGTACGAGGCATCGAAATGGAACTACTTCAAGCTGCACTACGAAGCAAGCAAAACGAGATGTTTGCCATAATGAAGAAGTGTGCAACGAAGGAACATTTTTGTGCTTTGTATTTGGAGGATTGCCTTTGGAGGAGAATAGTTGGTGGATCAGCCGTAACATCACGGCTCCGAGTAAGGCGAAATCGCCGAAACGTCAGCCATCGACCAACGACACCAACAACAACGACAACGACAGCGAAGACCTATACCAACCTCGTATCAGCTGAAGAAGATCACTTTATAAGGTCATATAGTTAAAAAAGTTGGTGGCTCACTTTGATATGCAATAATATTAGGTCTATATATAATATATTAGGGTAATTCACATGGCTCAGCTTCAAGAAACAACCACAAACGAATTCCTTACGTTTCTGATAATAGTGAAAATGGGGTTGATAATGCACCAAGAAAATCTAGGGTCACCGTGATTGGGGGCACAACAATACCTTAGAATGCGCGCTCGCTATTAGAATTGGGTCCAAGTTTTGCACCATCACAGCCCATTTCTAAAACGACCCTGCATAGGACAGCATGCAACCTTTATGAGCTTCAAGATCGACACCGCTCTCAGGCCAAGCACGAAACATCAAATAGAGATAAAAATCAAGAGAGGGCGACACTACCACCATCTCCTTTCCCAAAAACGTTCTTTAGACAGCAGGACCCTAACGATGGAGTTGACATAAAATTCCGCGTGTTTTCAAACGGCGTTCTCAAGACCCTTGATCACTACCGCGATAGAAAGTTTATCTCTAACTTTACAGCCGCACAGAAATGTGGCATGCGGGAAATTGGAGAATTAATGAACTCGAAAACAATAAGATTGTCTATTAGTGATAACGGGAGAGAGTTCGTAGTTATCCGTCGCCAGCTGGATGTTGAGATAACAAAGGAACATCTTAGTGATGCTACCCTCTATCGCCCATCCTCTGAAAAGGAATATAAAAGTCAATACCGAAAGCTAAACAATCAATGGGTCAGCGTGGCAAAGGCTGCGGGTTTCAAATCATCGGTTATTTCGCACTTTAAAATCGATAGACCAACATGTCCCTTCCTATACCTATATACTACTTATTAAAACACATAAGTTGGTATCACCTGATGATCATGCGTCAACCAATCCGTCATCATTTAAGGTTAGACCGATCATCAGCTGTGTAGACGGGCCAACGGATAGAATGACCTGGTTTTTAAGCCTGATACTTACCCAGTTGCTTAACCACATTCCAGGTCACCGCACAAACACCCAAATGTTCCTAGAACGTCTACGTAACGCATCTCCTATTAACGCGTACGTGATGGAGTCTTTCGACGATATCGCACTATACACCAACGTGTCGAATGACTCCGCAATGCAAGCCATCTTCGAACTTCTTGTTGAACATGAAGGAAGAATAAATATGCATGGCTTGTCCATCCAGCAGCTAATGGCTCTCTTAAAGGAGTGCCTAAACTGCTCGATTTTCAGATGGTCTGGGGAAATATTTCGCGCAAATAAGTGGGTTGGCAATGGGACAGCGATTGGCACCAAGCCTTGCCATTGTGTTTATGTCTAAGATAGAAGCCCCTGTTCTCGATCTCCGGCCACTACTCTAGTGCTGATGTGTAGATGATTGTTTTGTCGTCTTCTCTACGCAGGAGGAGATCGACAAATGCTTTCAACTATTGAACGAGCAGTCCGAGTACATAAAGTTCACCCGGGAGAAACCGAGAAAAAACTGGCTTTCGTTTTTGGACGTCCAAATAAACCTATCAAGTAGCGGTTACCTGACAAAGCGGTATCGAAAGCCAAGTAACAAGAACGTTCTTGTTCATTTCCCTCCCTTCTTCCCAGCCTTCACACACAAAGAGGGCGATTGTGAGAAACATGTTTCGAACAGCCAGTTTCCGAACTGTGTGCAATACCAGGGAACTAAATGAAGAATCGCGGGCGATTGTGAGAAACATGTTTCGAACAGCCAACTCTGTGTGCACTACCAGGGAACTAAAGGAAGAATCGCGCGACTTGGCCCTGCAAATAGCCATCTCCAATGGCTACGAAATAGTAACCCCACGAGATAAGTTTACAAGGAGAACGACGCGCCCACGCGAAACACTTGGCCAAAAGAAAATCCCGTTTATGTTGCCTTTTATAAGGGGTGAAGTAAGCGTAGCTATAAAACGATGCTTAAGAAGGGCAGGTCTAGAGGAATCGGTAGCGATAGTTGAAATACCACCGGCTACTCTACGTCGCCAATTAGTTCGCAACCGCCTGTTTGACCGTGTGTGTGAAGCAGCAAATTGCGTAATTTGCTCTTACGGCTGGGACGGTGATTACATGAGTTCAGGTACGATATACCTGTTCTCTTGCAATAATTGCGGAGATGAATACATTGGCGAAACGGACAGATCTTTGTGTATCCGTATAAAAGAACACCTAGATGGAGAACGAAAACTGAGACGAAGCACCCCACTAGGCACGCATAGGATACAAAAGCATAGCGGAGACGATTTTGAAGTAAAAGTCAATATCCTTGCACAGGAGACTAAAACACTAGCACGAAAACTTTTTGAGGCTTTTTGGATAAGTGACAAAAACCCTACAATGAATAGCAGGGACGAATGCCCGGAGGTCATACACGACCTGATCCCGTATGTTCGCATCGTTTTTTATGGTGGGATGGCGCAATCACACATGCGACTATAATCAGCTGTTCTAAACTTCCTCATTGGAAGTCACGAAAAAGCGGTGGGTTTTTTCGAGAAGTTGTTTATCATGTAATTACCAAAGAGTCTTTCGTCTTTTTGTAAGTGTTATTGAAGCGTTTGGCCTAGTAGATTGTATATCAGCATATCCTTCCAGGCTGTGAAGAAGGCGATACTGCCGAAACGTCAGCTAGTGTTGTATTGTATTGTGTTTTTCTATGGAAGTAAATGTACGCTGTTTAAAAACCTCGCGATTGCTGAACAAGAAAACGACGCATTCATATTCCGATGCCGAGGTTAATAGAAAGTCGATCCTGGGAACTAGTAGCCTTTCTGTTCAATACGGCGTCTATTTAAAAATCTGATCTTCATTAATGCTTTGGCCTTTCTTCCACTCAATAATTGGCGTATTCTAATATAAAATACATCCTGGCTCTGAGGAAGGCGAAATCGCAGAGACGTCAGCCATCGATCAACAACACCAACAACGAGGACAACGACA